ATGTTTCACTATTTATAATTTCAGATTTTTTTTTTACATTTAGAAAAAAAACGTTTTGAACATATTGATGCAAAGATCTCCGCTATTCTGAGACCCTCACAGAGTTCCAGTCCCTTCTCAAAACTCATCTCTTCTCCTCTTGTCTACTCATAGCCCCCCCCCCATCAATCCATGCCGGTTGATCAAGTTAGTCCTATACCCCCCACCCTAACCTTCCCTTATATTGTAAAGCGATTTTGAGTCCTTGAAAAGCCCTATAGGAATATAATGTATTATTATTATTATTATTATTATTATACTGAGTGACAGGTATCAGATCTTGCTGTGTAAAATAATCTTCCTGAGAGGTTTCACTTGTGATGTAGTCTGTGTGGTCTACAGTGAATGTATTCCTGACAGCAACAGGTGATAAGAATCAAAGGTTCCCATAGGATCCCATAGGAAATGCATGTGGGTCACATTTGACCCACTTATGGAAGCTTGGGGTAGAAATACAAAAACTACAATTTCTTAAAATGTATAACATTTAAATAACATTTTTGAATAGCATGATATCCAAAACATGTTTTTTGAGGAATAGCTGGAATATGAAATGATAAAGAAATGTAATTACAAAGATACTTCAAGAAGACCACCTCACCGGGTCAAAAAAGACCCACTTATGCATCTAAGGGTTAAGAAAAATTACTCCCCCTTCTTCTCTGTTTCTGAATCAGACACTGCAGAAGGAGATCCAGGGTCACCAGCCGCGTATTGATGAAATCCAAAGACGAGGCCAGACTCAGAGCCAGGTGGACGGTGAGAGGCAGTCGGCCCTTGAGGAGCGCCTGGTTGAGCTGGGGGAACTCTGGGACCAGTTGAAAGCCGAGACAGACAAGCGCCATGATCGTCTAATAGAGGCCAACCGCGCCCAGCAGTTCTATGCTGATGCGGCGGAGGCAGAGGCCTGGATGGGAGAACAGGAGCTGCACATGATGTCAGAGGAAAAGGCCAAGGTAAGATGGGGGAAATAAAAGTGAACGCTCTTTCACAACCTTATGCCTGGAGAAAATGTGATCATTTCCTTTTGGTTTCCCAGGATGAGCAAATAGCGCTAGTGATGGTCAAGAAGCACCAGACCCTGGAACAGGCCCTTGAGGACTACGCCCAAACCATCCACCAGCTGGCCAACAGCAGCCGCCTTATGGTCACCAGTGAACACCCAGAGAGGTGAGAGAGCGCAAATAGATACGAATGTTGGAATGACAGCGTGTCACAAAGATGTACAAACACTGATCTGTCTTGCTGTCTTTCTTCATTTACGCAGTGAGAGGATCACCCTACGGCAAGCACAAGTGGACAAACTGTATGCAGGGTTGAAAGACCTCGCTGAGGAGCGTCGCGGGCGTCTTCAGGAGAGGCTGCGGCTGACCCAGCTGAAGCGGGAGGTGGATGACCTGGAGCAGTGGATTGCTGAGAGGGAGGTGGTAGCTGGCTCCCACGAACTAGGACAGGACTATGAACATGTCACTGTGAGTGTTTTATCTCCATCTCATATTTTAGAGACACTGATGTTCAGGGACATTTAGCGGAATTAATTGCGCCCTGATTTTTCTCCTGGCAGATGCTGAGGGACAAGTTCCGGGAGTTTGCTCGTGACACCAGCACCATCGGCCAGGAGCGAGTAGATGGAGTCAACGAGCTGGCAGACGACCTGATTGAGTCGGGTCACCCTGAGAACGCCAGCGTGGCCGAGTGGAAGGACGGGTTGAACGAGGCCTGGGCCGACCTGCTGGAGCTGATCGACACACGCACACAGATGTTAGCAGCCTCCTACGAGCTGCACCGCTTCCACCAGGACGCCATGGAGGTGCTCGGACGTGTGAAGGAGAAGAAGGAGGGTCTGCCTTCAGACCTCGGCCGGGATCTGAACACCGTTCAGCATCTACACAGGCAGCACAACACGTTCGAAAATGACATCCAGGCCCTCAGCGGACAGGTCAGAAGCCTGTTTATAAAGAGAGCTCATGTGAGACTCCCAAGAGAGACACGTTAATAGAAAGCTCAATGTGCTCTGTTCCTCTTTGACCTTGTAGGTGAACCAGGTGCAAGATGACGCTGCACGCCTACAGAAGGCTTACGCTGGAGAGAAAGCTGATGACATTAACAGGAGTGAGAATGCTGTGTCTATTGCCTGGGAGGCTCTGCTGAAGGCCGGTCAGGCCCGCAGGCTCCTCCTGCTGGACACTGTGGAGAAGTTCCGCTTCTTCAACATGGTGCGAGACCTCATGCTCTGGATGGACGGCGTCAACCTGCAGATAGACGCTCATGACAGCCCCAGGTGAATGTTATTTCATGCTTCATTCACAGATACTGTGATGAATGCTGTTAGAAATGCTCCAAGCTCCATTTTCTTGGCTGATTCTTTTATGACAAATAAACATTTAACTGTATTTTAATAATAAAACATTGACTATTAAAAAAACCTGGACAAAATCCAACTGAAAATGAATTGCAATATATTTAAGCAATAGCTCACGACAGGCCGTGGTATATGGCCATTATACCACAGTTAAGGGGCGTGGTTCGGCCCGACGTGAAGCATGTAGTTTGCTTTTCAGCCAAACTGTATACAGATAAATCGACTTCTTTCTGCAGATGTGAGCGTCCTTAACAACGGTCGATAAGTCCTTGCTGCACATTATCCCTTACATGTTTCCATCTTAAGCTTTGTTAGCTAGTTAGTTTAGTAACGGACGTAATGTAACAGTTGTAACGGTTGTAGCTTTTCTCGGACTCGGAGGGATACTGACTTGTTGTGAAAAGTAACTACAATTGACGGTTGACGTAGGGGTTAATGACGCTCGCTTCATGTCATCCAAAACACTCCGGGAGCTGGGAGTTGGTAACACAAAGTGGAGAGAAACATTGTTCATATCATCATACCACCAACATTGCAACCATACAAAGCAGGTTGAAAATAGTCAACGTTTTCCTTTAAGTTGTTCCTTTATGGCTCACTTCATGATGGGGTTGATCAATCAGTGCATCTAAATGCTGTATTATGACAAATATGTTTAGATGTCATCTCCTTCTCCTTTCTTTTGTCGTAGGGACGTGTCCTCTGCGGGGCTGGTCATTGCCAATCATCAGGATATCAAGTCAGAGATTGAGACCAGGGCTGACAGCTTCACCGCCTGCGTTGATTTGGGAAAATCTCTCATCAACAATAATCACTATGCATCTGATGAGGTACTGTGCAGCGGGACATTCTCAATTTTATCTGCAGTCATTTGAATGCATATTCAGAATAAACCACTCTTAGGGAAATGGGAACACACTTAGTGTTTCATTTTGGGGTGATTACTTAATGTTTTCATGATTCCTTTCCTTACTGTAATTTCTTTGATTTATAGATCCGGGAGAAACTGGCTCAACTGCAAGAAAAGAGAGAAAGGATCAACAGAAACTGGCAAGACAAGATGGACCATTTACAAATTGGTATGCATCCTTACCATGTTTTATAGTCTGTAAAAGGGCACTAAGTGCCATTGCAAATGAGGGACACTTGAGATTGCTACAAGGTGAAGGTAGCAGATAAAATACAAACGTGTGTTTTTATGTTATGTTACGAATATTACCAAGATAGCTTTTTGCTGCAGATGTGAAATGTCATCCGTCAAGACTTCGAGTTACACACTACGTGGTATTCTACAAGTCATGTGTGCAAGCACCTTTTTTATTGGTACTACCGGTAATTGCACTATTGCCAAAGTAGAGCCAGGACTCTTTCTGTGTAGTTTATCCCTGAAATTACGACTTGCAGATCGATGCAAATAAGATGGATTATTGTCCCTTTTTCCTAGCAGCGTATTTTGCTATAGAGAGGCGAAGTCCCTCCCCTTCCGGTGGACCTCCATGGGACCTTATTTCAGAAAAATTATGTATTAAAGTCAATGGCGAGAGAAACGTTATCTTTCGATCCCGTTTCAATTGTGCCACAAATTACACATATGATGTTTGTCAATTTAAAAGATAATTTTGCAAGTAAAAAAAACAATGTTTTGCCGTAAAGCTGAAGTAAGAATTTTTTTGTGTGAAACCGCTCAATTAATTAAATCGCTGGTCTCGCACAACAACACACGTCACCAAGATGGCCCTCACTACTGTCTTGCCAAACAAGGGATTAACTACCCTAACTATCACCACAATGAAACACGTCCAGAAGAATGTCATGCAAAGCTGCCTGCCTGCCTTCGATTCTCCCTGAACTGCCTGATCTTTTTAATGTTCAATGTTAACCATATGTGCAGATAGCATGAAGGAGGAAATATCCGGGCTTAAACGGTGTATTATAGAATGATCACACCGGTGTGACAGTACTCTTCAAAGGGTTGACGAAATATGACTACTACTCTTACTG